TCAGTAGAGAAATCACATGAGATCTCGCTTCAGGTAAATCACAAGAGATCTCTCTCCATATGACCCGTACATCACGGCTCCAGATCTCCACCTGAGCATGTAGGAAATTTGACATAGCATCATCATTGGGCCAGCTGCAAGAACCAGGAAGGGACACCCAGCTCCCATTGATGCAAGAAAGAAAGGTGGCAGCAGGGAAATGGGTGTGCAGAAGGAGCGTGATGGATTGGAAGAGAACAATTGGGGACTCACATGGTTGGTAGGTTTGTTTATTCTTCATTAAACCAAGGGGAATTGGGCAAGAATTTACATGGGGTGGTGGAAGGTTTTTAAACCACCCAACCATTTATTTTATATATTGAGGAGTCTAAGGCTGAGACCTTTGAGCACAGTTCCCATGTCTGCACACCTGCTGTGCCAATTGCGGGGGTTACCACCATCCCTGCTGGATTTTTATTATTTAATGTCGTACAGAAGAAGCTGGAACATACAAAACTGGACTGGAACACCACAAAACTCCCAGTCGGGGATGATGAGAGATTACGCTGTTGGTGTATCAAAGACATGTAAGAAACCAGCATATAACTCAGCTTAGCAGGCTCCAACTATAACAAAAATACCACTTTGGATGGACGAACCAGGTCCTACCTACAACAAAAATACCCCTTTGGATGGACTAATCAGGATCTACCTATAAGTAAAATACCACTTTGGATGGACTAATCAGGTTCTACCTATAACTAAAATACCACATGGGGTGGACTAACCAGCTTCTACCTATAAGTAAAATACCACTTTGGATGGACCAACCAGGTTCTGCCGATAACTAAAATACCACTTTGGATGGACTAACCCGTTAAGTGCTGCCCACATGGCAACCAAAGCAAATACATTTGGAGCTACTTATACATAAAAGTAATCGAAAATATGGAATCGTATAATACATTAGCAATCCAACACAGGTCTAAATGAAACCAATAAGCACATGCCATCGTTTAATTTTTGCAGGTGAAAAGGTGAATTTATGGTTTGAAGCCAAGCTATCCTCTTTTTACTTAAAATGTAACGGGTTTTGGTCAGCTTTATTTTTAAATTTTTATCTTACCAGTTTATAAACTCATTTTTGTATATCTTGTTTGAATTATATCTTTATTTTATATATAAACATTTATTACAAGGCATATATATGAAATAGAGTTGGCAACGGATGATGGGCTTTCTAATAGGAAAGCCCAGCACTTTGAACTTACTAGTAAGATGCCATAGTCTGGGGAACAGGGAGTGTCTATTATTCTATTCTACTTTTCTACTATTCTGCTATTCACAGCACAACTTTGAAGAACATGGAACATTAGCATACAGCTCCACCTGCTGGTGCACAGTGGTAAATATATCCCCGTGCAATATTTATTTCTTTACCTGATTAAACTGTTTTTTTTGTGTTTTTTTTTAGTACTGAATAAAATAAATAAAGACAATATAACAAAAACACTATAGATGACCTGTAAATATAAAATATATATATGTGAATGTGATCAGCTTAATACCAAAAAAATATCAATAAGTATTAAAGCCCAACTCCAAATAAAACATGTCTCAGATAACATAGAGGGCTTAGGACCTCAGGTGGGAAGGTTCTGCAGATTTCTTGTCCCAGGGACACAGTGTTCCACCCCCTGATACCCAGGCTGATGCCAGGACAGGAAGTTAAAGTGTATGTAGTTTAATCTGCTCAGATGTTCCTTTCCCTGGTTCCTCCCTCCTCCCTCATCAACATACTAATGGCATTTAAATAAAACCTCTCTGTTTTCATGACATACCTTATGTTATACCCAGTGATGTCATCAGTGAGTCACTTCACCTTTCAATACACGGCCCAGATGATGCTATATGTCAGTGGTGTCAAATCTATGACACGCGTGCCACTGAAGGCATGCAAAGGCCCCTCTGGTGGCACGTGAGCCTAGGCAGGGGAGTCAAACTCGTATTGCCCGACGCCTGACACAGACAGTTCCAGGTGCTGGTGGGTATTTTTTTTTCTACATTTAGCCCTGCTTTGGGCAAACAGGGCTAAATGTATAGCGGGGAAGCCACCACTCGTTTAGAACAAGTGGTCTGGGAGATCACTTGTATGCAGCCTGCAGGTCCATCTCGCTCCCTCCATGGTCCGCTACCCCTCCCCCCCACCTTCCCCTGCAGGCCACCTCTCTCCCCGCTGGCCGCCTCCCTTCCTTCCGTGGTTTTCGGGGCCTCCTGCTCTTCTGGGGGACCCTGGACTATGGCAAAGTAGTGCAGAGCAGTAAACGTCTGCCCTCCACTCTGCTCCGTGTGAACACTGATACAGCAGAGCTGCACTTCGTGGCCTTCTCATCTAAGCTGTAGACATGTGCAATTCGTTTCGTTACGAATCGAAATTCGTACGAATTTTCCTGAAATTCGTAAATGCGGAAGCATCCGAAATCCGAATTGCAGTTTCCGAATTATATCCAAAATACGAAATTCCGTTAACGAATTTTCGTTCCGTTACAAACATTCGTTATATTGAAGTTAAAAAGCAAAGTATATTTATATTGGAGTTGATGGTAGTTTTTTTTTAAGTCCGAAATACGAAATTCGGATCCGGAATCCGTTAACGGAATTCGTATTTCGGATAAAAAAACAACTACCACATCGACTCCAATATTAACAAAGGTATTTTTGCTTTTTAACTTCATCATAACGAATGTTCGTAAAGTTACGAAAATGTGCCGAAACTAACGAAAATTCGTATTTTGTACGAATCCGAATTGAGTTTCGGATACGAATTACGAAATACGAAATAACGGATATTCCGAAACGGAACAAATTTTTTGACGGCGTATAGTGCTGTGCTAGAAATCCTGTACTGGAAGTGACAGGTTCAATCAAGAGAACCTGTCACCTCCAAATGCTATCACACAGGGGCTGGTTAGCTCCTGTGTGATAGCAATAAATGTTAAGTTAAAAAAAAGTAAAAAATAATAAAATAAATAAAACAAAATAATTAATAAAAAAGCAAAAAATAATAAAATCAATAAAAATGATAAAAAATAAAGTAAAAGATAAAAGAAATATAAATTTAAACCGTAAAAAATAGGGAAAAAAATAGATAAAAATAAAGTGATAAAAATAAGTAAAAAATAATAAATAAAGACAAAAATTAAATGTTTAAATGGTTGAATATGTGCGTTTCCCTATTTTGCCTAAGGCAGTGATGCTGCACATTTTTTAAACCCCAGTGCCCGAAACTAAAACACAATACCAAACTTATTTTCAGTGTTGGCACTTTGAGATAAATAAATGGATTTTTCGTCGCAGTTTGGGCACTCGGGCTCAGAAACGTTAGCCATCACTGCTGTATGTCCTCCAGCCAGGAAATGAGGTGGGCCCTATGTGACTTTCTCCAGCTTCTAATACACATGGTGAGAAGAAATCTCCACATTTGGGACACATGGAGTTGGGTTTTAATGCTTTTAAAAACCTGGTTTCTGTAATTAGTTTGAAAATGAATATATACATTAAGTGAGTGAGTGTCGATAATGTTTTCTTATTACATCTGCATCCTCTGCTTCCTGCTGAGTAGTGTTATAAGGTGACTGTGCTTTAATGCTTGTCGCTCCCAGTGCAAGTCTATGAGTAAGGTCTCAGTTGACTGAAAACAACAGACTCTCCATATGGCTGAGCTTATCTCAGATTCATCCTATCAAATGAGAAATAGAGGGGCTGCCATTGCCAACCTCATTATAGACATGCCAATTGCCTGTCAGTGACCTGGAAAAAAATACAAAGATCAGGGAAGTCAGGGAAAAGCCAAGAGTGTAAGACTATACCTGGCTGTTTGGAAGCTTCTTCCGCATTTGCAGGAAATAAGCGCTAATACGCACGCAACGGAACATGCGCGCAAGGACGGACTAACGTGACGCACAGGAAATGATGCAGCTTCCCTGAATAGATGGCCCCATTTAAACCTGCTAGTTCTATAGATCATTGCTGAATGGTCTTTCAGCTTGTATGTGTGTTGCAGAGTTCTGCTGCCTTGACACGGATCCCCTTAGACTACGCCAGCCTACTGCCTGCCCCTGACCTCTGGTTGCTCCCAGACTATTCTTCTGCCTGCCGCTCTTGTACTTCGCTGTCCGATTGGTGTTGACCCTGGCCTGCCTGATTCCTTCCTGCTCCAGCAGTGTTCCTCATTGTCCTTCCAGCTGCATCCACACCTGCTTCCTGCTTCATTGGAGACCAGCTTTGGGACTTAACCAGGCACAGTGCCCTACACCCTCTGGCACCGGTGCTGCTCTCTCACTCCCTGTCTCACTCACTGTCCTCTCACTCCGTCTCCACTCTCAGGAGTGTGGGACAAGAGTTGCAAAGGAGGCCTCCTCAACTACTCGGTTCTCTACCAGGTACGTGATAAGTGTCCCTATCAGCAGGGCCGTCGCTACCTTATTCGCCGCCTGGGGCAGCCAGGAAAAGGGGGAGCGGCGGGTTAATGCACTCCAGAATAGTACAAGCTGTTATCCACGGAGAAGGGGGGGGGAGTTTGAGCTGAGCTGTCAGCCACGTGGGAGGCAATGGTCGGCCAAGCTGTCAGCTGGGTGGGGGGTACTGTTAGTCACCCATGCTGCTGCCTCCCCAGTGGGGTAGGGGGGATCTTCCACACTACCAAGCTACCAAACATTGATGCTGAATGGATGAGGACATGGGTCTTCATAGAAGATCAGCTGCAGCATGTCTACTGTCAGCACTATATTATGCACAAACGACTGGTCTTGTATTGTTGAAAAGAAAAGGTTGCCCGAGTCTACGTCTACTTTAAAGGAAAGCAGAACAGTCGATATCTGTCATAGCTCAAGCTCCCATCCAGTGCTGGAGGCTGACAGGTCCCCTTTAACACTGACCATGGTTTTGACTCTTCGCTTTAAATAAAAATGACACACAAACAAAAAGCAAAAAGTGGCCCGGTGAATAAACTATTAGCTTTGCTCACCTTAAAAAAAGCAAGAATATATTATTTGACACTTTATACATTGTAACATCTTCATACAGAAGTGCTGTAAAAATGATATAGAACTTCCAAATAATAATTTAGGCAGCTGGTTATTAAATGACATGGCCCTGAGACAATGCACGTGAAAGCACCAATAACAGCATAGTACGTCTCTTCCCCTGATTGTTTCTACTAATGAAACATTTCTTCTTTTGGTTTTGTTTCCTGAATGATCAGTTCCCTATTTCGGTGTAGTCGTGGTAGCTCACCAGCTCTGAAAAAATGTCATTGATCTTTTTGCAGCCGAGGTTACAGAAGCAAGCATTGATCCACATGACGTTCCAGGACACGCTGGTGCCGTCGGGGCAGTCGTAGTGGACTTGGATGGTTTTGGATTTGTAGGGGTTGCAGCATCGGTCGTCAGTGCACACCCCGCAGTATTTGGGTCTGTAGGCTCTTCTGCTCACGCAGCCTGAGATTGTGAAGTTCTTTGGTTGCGGTTCACGGTAAACCGCTAAGCATTTTTTGCCTCGCTGTAAAAAATAATAAAAAGAGCAAGACATTAAAGGTAAATCTTATATGAAGTCAAATACAAAAAATATGCACTTAACCTATTCTATTTTTGGCTATCTTTCCTCCCAGTGGTGGACGGCATTCAAGTTGGCAGACAGCAGTACATGGTGCCTCTCCTTAGTGGTGGCTTGTGGCTCAGTTGGCCGCAAACATGACACCACATATGCCTCTCGGCTCCTCGCAGCACCTACTCACCATTGCCGTATATTTCCTCTGGCTTGCTGATCAGGATTGACCCTACGGACAAGGAGGTGCCTTATTCAATTTATTTATGCCTGCTCACTGGACATTTGGAAGGATTTAGTAATGAACAATAATGCCCTTCCGACCCTTCACTTTCCCCCCCACTTGTAACCTTCCCTTACCTCCTAGTAGGAGCACATCACATGACTGCAATATACCCCCTCACCTCTGCTCACATTTACATACATATTTAGAGAATATGGTGGCGTATGGTGACTCCTTAGTGGTGGCTTGTGGCTCAGTTGCCCGACAGGACACCACATATGCCTCCTGTCTCCTCCCAGTGCCTACTCACCACTGCCATGTATTACCTCTGGCGTGCTGATCAGGATTGGCCCTATGGTCAATGAGGTGCTTTATTTTAAGCTTTCTGTGCCTCTTGACTTGAGATAGTGTACTGCTGTTCATTCCTGTCAATGACCTTTGCTATGTTCATTGATTACACTTACTGTCTGCTGCCTGCCATGAGCTTTGCTATGTTCATGGATTACAATTACTGTCTGGTGCCAGCCCTGACCAATGCTACTGACCCCAGAGTTCACCAATCTGCCAACCACTAGCTACTAGTCCATGCTCCACCCGGTGCACCTGACAAGCCGTGTGCCTGAAGCTTTGGTACATCTCCATCACTGCACAGCACATCAACTCTTTACTTTTGCCTTGGGACTGCTCGTGACAATCTACAGCCAGAGTATATAGCTTTGTGTCATAAATCCTAATGGGCAACGAAGTACCGGTACACCTGCTTGTCTTAAGGGAAGTGGGGCAGCCATAGCCCAGATAGCAAGTAATTGTGCTGCAAGTTTGAAAATGACTTGCTAAACTATTGCAGACTTGCCAAGCTTCACAATTTTCTTGCACAATTACAGCGAGTCTGCATTGCAAGTCTCCAGACCAGCGAGCTTGCAGAGCTCTTGCTAAGACCTGCAGGACTCTTGCTGTAGACTTGCCAAGCAAATTTTCTACAAATTCAAAAAGTGTCAACTGGAACTTGTGCTGCAAGTGTTCTGCAAGTCTACAACGTGCCAGGAATATGTGCAGCAAGTTAACAAAATTACAATTTAACCCCGACACAAGTTTGTGGCAAGTTATCCTTGCTATCTGGGAGGTGATGTTACACTAGCCTGCTGTTTACTCTGACTGGGGTTTTTGCACTAGGGCCATACAGCAGATTGCCGCTGGAGCCACACAAAATCCCTGCACCACTGTGTAAAGGGAGAATGAGCATATCCATCCCTCTTCCTGCTAAGGAGTGTCTAGTGCCTCACTGACCACACGCACAGTTTAAATCCCCATGTTGCCACATAAAGTGCCAAAGCACTAGTCACATGGACTCAGCGAGAAGATCTTATGGAAATATCAATAACAGTTTTTTAATCTGAGCATTGATCCTCATGGAACAGAAAAAAAATAGAATTCCATAGAAATTGCATTGTATGTGCTCAGCATAATTCTGCTCAGATTCATGGAAATTTTCAGACAACCTCCATTTTCAATTAGCTTTCAATCACAAAAGCAAGGCAGCCAAGCTAGTTCAAACAAGGTTTCAATAGAAACTGTTGGAGGTGGTTTGCATTGATCAATTTGGCTGTTTTTTTAATATTGAAAGTTAGTACAGTTAGGTAAAAAGGGTAAAAAAGGTAACAATGGCTCCGTGAAGATCTCCTATCATTAGAGTTCTTGTTTCACAGCCTGACCTAGAAGCAGGCTTACCCGGAAGTGCTGTGTGATGTCCACCTCGCAGGGTCTCAGGTTGCATAGGCGGCTCTCGGTGTGAAGTTTACACTTGTCATTATCGTTGGAGATGCGCGTGGATATCCCCATTCCGCACGTCTTAGAACAGGGGCTCCAAGGAGTTGTCTGGGTGATGCAGTTGTTTTGCCAGGTTTCAGTCTCTTCACGATAAACTGAAAGAATTCAGAATTGATTTATGCCTAAGTGGACAGTTGGAGGGATTTAGTCATGAACGATAATGCCCCCTGCCATTCACCTTCCCAATGAAACCGCATCCACTCACTTGTTATATCTCGTCTTGACTATTGCAACTCCATCCTCATTGGCCGACCTCTACACAGGCTATCCCCCCTTCAGTCTATCATGAATGCTGCTGCTAGACTCATTCACCTAACCATCCGCTCAGTGTCTGCAACCACCCCCTGCCAATCCCTCCACTGGCTTACAATAGCCCAAAGGATAAAATTTAAAATATTAACAACCACTTACAAAGCCATCCACAACTCCCCTGGCTATATCTCAAACCTTGTCTCAAAGTATCACCCCAACCGTCCCCTCCGCTCTTCAAAAGACCTCCTGCTTTCCAGCTCCCTCGTCAACTCCTCTCATGCTCGCCTCCTGGACATGACTAGAGTCTCTCCCATCCTCTTAAACTTTTTACCCCAACCTGTCCGACCATCTTCCACTCAGACTGCCTTTAGGCGATCCTTCAAGACTCATCTCTTCAGGGAAGCCTATCCCGCCTCAACCTAACCACTGAACTATCACTTTCTCAGACAATTCATCCCCACACAGCTACCTCCTCATGTATCACTTGCCCCTCCCTTTTAGATTGTAAGCCCTCAGGGGCAGGGCCCTCCTTACCATCTTGTCTTGAATTGCATTGTGATTGTAATGTCTTCCTTATATTGTAAAGCGCTGGGCAAACTGTTGGCGCTATATAAATCCTGTATAATAATAATAATAATACTTCTAGTAGGAGCACATCACATGACCACAATATACCCTCTCACTTCTGCTCACATTTACGTGCATATATGGGAAAAAAGACTTGACCTAGTTAGCTCAGAGGTCCCCATTATCCACTTGAACAGGGCCGGTGCTAGCATTCTTGCCTACACAGGCAAGGTGCATTTATGCGGGCGTCGGGAGATAGGAAATCCACACACCTGCTGCCCCTCTACTCCCTGCTACCTGCCCTCCGTTGACCTTGTGGGAATTCTGGCCCTGCATACCAATGCTCACTCACTGTACTGTTTCAATGGAAATGCAGTGTTGTCACCCTAGCACTTCCTCCCCATGTCAAAGTATCATTCTGAAGGATGCTAATATTCCTATGTGATATACAGTACAAAAGAACAAATACTAGAGGAAGCCTCTACACATCTGCATATGAAAAATCAAAATAAGAACATTTCATAAAAAGCTTTGAGCTCCCTCTAGCGTTTCTTATGTCAGTCTTCAGACAGGTTTTGAACCCTAATGGCACATCATTCCCCTTCTATACCACTTCTGCATATATAAATGTGTCAATCACTTTTTTAAATATATGCCAATTAACAGGACAAGCTCCATTTTATGTGTATCCTCACCCGACGTACCAGGAGAAGCAATATGGCGGGGAGATGCTTTTCGGAACCTCTTGGAGTCGTCACAAACCCATTGCTCGCAACACTTTCCTGCCATCTTAACCCGCTTGGGGTTCTGGCACCAGACGAGAGGTGGACGGGAGTTTACGCACAGTGGGGTGCAACCCACGGCGCCATCCAGACACGTACAGTTGTACTTGCAGTTTGGTTGGAAGCTCTGGCCATTTCTATAGCGTACTCCATTGAGAACACAACCTACTCCTGTCATCTCTGGAAAACAATTGAGAAATGGTTTAAGCATTGCACTTAACTGTGGAAAACAAACCATATAGTGTACATTAAACTAAACAATGGCTCACATAAACAAAAAAACAACAAGGAAAACCCTGGAAAAAAACATAAACATTTAACTTTTTACAAAGTTTCCTACTTTTGCTCTCTTCTTACTTATAAAAATATACGGTAGGTATTTGATAAAAACATTCCATTAAATTTAGGACCCTATTTAGGGCCTTATCGAAGTCCCCAACTTTCAAAACCATCAACAACCTCTCCGGTAATACTAAAATCAATTATTTTGCTAAAGAAGAAATTGCTGTTGCCAATAGAACCCCGGAAATCTCCTTCAGGCATAGCTATTTTTATAGCTATTTGTTCTTCACAGATATCCAAAATTAACTCCCAAAAGATTCTATTTGTTTTACCATATTAATTCAGGGGGGTTCCACTTTCCACTCTACATCTCCAAGTAGATCTACACTATATGGCCAATGGTTTGTGGAAACTTGGCAATCAGAAAGGTTCTATCTGTGCCAAAAGCATGTCGCCACCCTTTTAAATTATTGAGTTCAAGTCTTTCCAATGAAGGGTACAGTTATGCTGCAGCATATAGAGATATTTGAGACAATTGTTCACCTACAACTCTGTGATAACAGTTTGGGGAATGCCCTTTCCTATTCCAGCATGACTGTGCCACTGTGCACAAAGCCAGCTCCATAAAGACATGATGAGCTTAGTTTGGAGGAACTCAAGTGGCCTGGATAGCATACAGCATACAAAGACATTTTAAACAATTATGCACCTACAACTTTGTGGTAACAGTTTGGGGAAGGCCCTTTTCTGTTCCAGCATAGCTGTGCCATGGTGCACAAAGCTGGCTCCATTAAACTTGATGAGCTTGGTTTGGAGCAATTCGAGTAGGCTGCTCAGAACTTTGACCTCAACCCTATTGGTTATATATTTAGATGAAGCACTGAGATCTTGAGGAATGCTAAATTATTATGTTTAGGAGAACATTATATCAGGATACAGCATCATACAGCATTCAGAGAGAACTTCCTGTGTATCATAGATAAGTATGAACATACAGAGTAACATTGCACTACAGCGCCATCTACAGCTCAAAGGACATAATATATGCTGTTGTATTTTCAACAAACCCATCTGAACAACTTTAGGATAAATTGCACACTGATTGTGAGCCACGTTTTCTCATCCAACATTCGCACCTGGCCACATAGATGTTCTTTGGGCTGAATGGGCACACATTTCCTCCAAAAAAACCTATGGAAAGTCTTCACAGAAGAGCAGAGGCTGATTACAGTCCCAAGGAGGGCAACTGCATATTAATGTCCAAAGTATTTGATCTTGATGTGGAACAAGCTAGTGTCTTTGTTCTGCTGGATTTGCATAGAAAAGTGACAGTCTCTAACTGGAGGAAAATTTCCTCCCCCCCCCCGCCCAACACACCCAAGAGATGAAAGGGCATAGGGCATTGGGAGGAGAAGTTCAGTATGCAGCAGCAGAGGAAGAGGCAACATCTTCTTCCCTTTGGAAAAAAAGGATCCAGGCCCACCATGTGAGAGAGGGATAGTGATGGTTCTTCCTTATCCTGGGTGAACATGGCACAGTCAGGTTGGGAAGGGAAGAACTAAATTATGCTGTAGGTTCTCCAGCCAGGGAATTGGGAGGGCTCAATCTGACTTGTTGCAATTTCTAATGCACACTTTGAGAAGTTCACAGCGGTAAGCAATTTCAGTCCAGGAGAGGAGCCTGTACAACTATGCAAGACTGAAGGGAAGGCCGGAGTTCAAAGTCAAGTGTCTCAGCCCTGAAGTTAAAGCAAAGTCCCCTAAAGTGCTCTTTGGCCTAATAGCAAACCGTAGTACCTACTGCTTACAAGTTCATATAGGCGTCATGGTCACAAACCTTTGATCATATGGTGTATCATTAAATTTCACAAAACACATAAGTCATTTTAGCACATGTTACATGTTACATTACCAAGTTACATGATTATTCTGAGAAAAAAAATCTGCTGCTCTGAAGATCCCTCAAGTGACTTCAAGCCTAGGCACCCTACATCACATGATCTATGACAATCAAAAGCATTGTATGGTTTTCAGGCCAATAGAAAGTGATGCAGACATGCTCTGTTAGGACCTGTTTGGCTGACTACAGTGAGATAAGACATTCAACAATACAGACAGGAAGCAGAAGCTGCCTATGTAATATGTACAGATATGCACATACTGTATATACAATAATTGAGAACTATACATAGAAACTCGGTGATTCAACATTAAAGCTTCACCTCAGACATTTTTTTTTTTTTTTTTTTTTTTTTTTTTTTTTTTTTAGAGGAGAGTTATAATTTTGCCAGTTGTTTATTCCTCTCTGTGACCTCATTGTGGCGATATTCCCTCACTTCCTGTTCCTGTCACTCTTGGGAAAAGTTGTCACCCTTCCTTACACTACTAAAAATTATTTTATCTGTGTCTATATTGAAAATGTTTCCATCACTTCATGTCTAGATAGGAAGAGGGGGGAAATCTCACCTGTGGGGTCACAGACAGCAATAAAAATCCGAGAGAAGCTCAAACCCTTCCCAGCTCCAACCAAGATGAAATAAAAAAAGATTTAGCTGAAAAGGAATGTAGCCTACTCTAATAAAAAAAATTTAAATAGCAACTGCAGCCATTTTTGGTTTAACCCCCTCAGTCCCTGGGCCTCTTTTTCCTTATAAAATCCTTCAGCATTTCCTTTTGGCAATGACTCGGTTGTGCACATTATATTAGTTTCCTCTACTAGTCTACCCAAACTTATTATACATTGTTTTTTTTATTATACATTGTTTTTTTATTATACGTGTTTTTTTTATTATACGTGTTTTTTTTATTATACATTGTTTTTTTTTATTATACATTGTTTTTTTATTATACATTGTTTTGTTATTTTACATTGTTTTTCTTGAGGCAAAGAGATCTTTAATTTGTTGGCACATTTGGATACTTTTATTCCTCAGGTTATTTAGAAAGAAATAGTGAAAAAAGTAATCAGTTTGTGTAACTTATTAGAATAATATTCAGATAAGATGAAGTCAGGAACCAGATCTGAACCGAGGTCTGTGCTGTAGCTGGCAGCGGTTCTACCTGCTGAGCCACCTCAGAAGCTTGGATAGCTCCCTGCCTGATCTCCTGTGTAATCCTCAGGAGTTTCTGCTGAACTCCTTGCTCCTCCCTTGAACTTCCTATTTAAGCCATGCCCGTGCACTTCCTGTTTGCCAGATTATTGTGCTCCTGCCATTATCTTACATTCTTGCTCCTCCTGTGATACAATCCGCTCATACAGCTTCCCGTGTTCCGACCTTTGGCTGCTAAATCACGACTACTCTCATCGACTTCCACTTCCCGCTACTATAACAGTGAGATGGGTAGGGTTGCCACCTGTCCAGGATTCACCCGGACTGTTCGGGTTTTTAATGCTGTGTTTGGGTTTTATGGCAGCTGAAAACCGGGACACAAGATGTCAGACACACTGGGGCAACCAAAATTAAGATAGGGGCTACTGACCCCCCCACGGAAAATAGTCTCAACTGTGATATTTACATATGAATGGGCGGAGCTATTTACATATGAATAAGCCACAACTCCTTCTCCCCCAAAAAAGTCTGCGCGTCGCTTAAATGTGTTTGGGTTTTGCTTGAAGAAAAGGTGGCAACCCTAGAGATGGGGTGTTATAAAAACGAATGGTACACCGGTGTCTGGGTTTACCCTGTACTGGAGTAACATATGGCAATACAAATGTTTTACACAACATAACTTAACACTAATTTATAAAAGCTAAACTCTTGTGTGACCCTCTGGACATGTCGGGGGCCTCACTTGAGGACCAATATACTCACTAAGTTGATCACCATTGCTTAAAGTCATGGGTGAGCCAAAAGGCTGAATCACTCACGAGCTCCTTATTTTATATTTGGCCATTCAAATTGTGAGATTTCGTGGCTGAAATTTTCTTCTCTATTTAACTCAAGCATCTATTTTTTTTCTTTCTCTTGCCAAAATTATTTTGGATAGGGTGTGGAAGGGTTAGAACCTCTGTAAGGTTTTCACTGCATGTTTCATTGACCCTTCTCCTCTTTCTCATCCACACAGATAAAAAGAGATGGGAAATCTCCCTAATGAGTATAAAAAAAGTAAAACTTGAAGGAAGTTCTAACTCTTCAACCTCTCCCTCCCAAAAAACCTTTATGTAAAAGCCATTAAGGAGAGTGGGACCCCTCATAATGTCAGCAGCAAGTGGGTGGAGCTGGGAACCCAACCACAGATATCTCCCAGCTAGAGTGCTACCAGTAAACATGTAAACATGTAATAAGAAATGTTATTACATGTTTACTGGGTCTGTCACGATCTAGTAGTAACCTCTATCTTCTGTAGCCAGTCTCATCTAATGTTTTTCATGTTTTGTGCTGGTTACAGATCTGGTTGACAGACCATCTAAGGGTAATAATGTATTACTCGGATCTCCAGGAGTAAAATTACCTATTTTTTCTATGGTAGTGAATGGGTTGACCCTTTAACACACATGAGCAGTAACAGCAGTATGCAAACATATGCATAAAATATATATATGATACTTACGTCCGCAGACACCTACTTCGTACCTAGGAATGTCCCTGCTGTAGTCACAATATAGTCCTTTGTGTGGGTCACATGTGTCTGCCTCCGTGCAGTTCTCTCCACGTTGCTTGGTGCATGTTTTGCAGCAGTCACAGCCATCTGTGACCAGACTGACCCCTGGGGGACACACAGGGGGGACGGGGGGGCAGTCACATGGCCACTTACAGTACTGAACCCGAACATACTCTTCTGTGACAGCAGGGGTTGGAGGCATTGTGGTCGTGTTTTGTAAAATGACCTGTAAATGACACAAGAAAAAAAATTATTAGCAAAAATGAAGGTTCTCATTTATCCAGGTCATGGTATAGCTAGTAGAGTTCTGCTTCTCCTTTCTGTTCAATGGTCCCATGCAGTGGAGTCCCGGGGCCGGGTGTCGCCCGTAGCAGTTACCGGGTGACACCTTGCCGTGACATCATCGCGCATGCGCGGCGATCTTATTGATACCTGCCGGCGGCCATCTTGGTGATGGACGACGGCAGAGAGAGGAGAGGACAGTCAACCGGCGGGATTAGGTATGCGACCGGGTCCCCTCCTCTCTCCCGAAACTGTCGGGCGCTCGGCCCATGACCGAGTGCCCGACTTTTCAGAGGGAGGTGACACCAAAATGACTTCAGTCATTGGTGTCACCCCTCCAATGGTGTCACCTGGGTGTCAATGGTGTCACCCCCCCACCCACACACAACCCCCTGGTGACGCCACTGATCCCATGTTCATTTGGTCAAGCTAAAACAAAGGACCATCAATCAGAGAGGAGAGGCAGGACACACAGAGTAATATAGTCATCCTGTATGTATATGAACATTTTAAAAGAAAATGCAGAAGGATCTTTAACAAACATCTCATCCTTGTGTCCTTCAAGCCCAGCAATACACTGAGATAGAAGCTTGAACATCCTAAAGACCCAATACTCGAACACAGGTGAAGTAACTTGGTCTCTGCAGTCCAATATAGTGAGGAATGCAAAGATCTGTACATTGGGGGGACAACAACCTCCCAACAAATGAATGGCCCAACAAAGAAGGGCAAATTGTACAGGTTAAGACTCAGAAGTCTTCCTACACCTTAAAGTGACATTAAACCCTCAGCTTTTTTAACATAAACCAATACTGAAATGTGCGCCTTACTGTAATCCATGGTAGTTTCCCTTCTCTTTCCTGCTCTTCCTTTTAAATCCGTATCTCTTCTCATGCTTGGGGAGAACTTCCCTTTGCAGCTGAGAACCAATTCCTTGTGGGAACACAATTGGAAATTCCGAGGAAGCATTGATTAGCATTGTGTGATATTGTCCAATCACATTCTCAGGTGTTGCAGTAATCTATATATATTGAATGGTCGGGGAACCTGTGTACAATGTAACCTACCCGAGCAAATATTATCAAAGACAAATATAGGAATTCAACCTGAGCCAACATTAAAGGAGAACTATGAGGTGAGTGCTTTTCACTCACCTCATAGTTCTAGCCGACGACCTGTGACAATGAGACTGTCACAGGTCGGCTCAGTAGATCAGGAAGTGAGCGAACATATACCGGCGTTCGCTCACCTCTCGATCCTGTCACAGCTCTCTGCAGTGACAGGGGAGGGGCTGGATTCCCCCTCCCTGCTCCGATCCGCTGGGCGGATCCAGACATAATTGTCGGGATCCGCTCCAGGTGCGACGTCTCAGTATACCGCGAGCTGTAGCTCGCGGTATACTGAGCTTAGGGTGACGGAAGGACGCTAGTTTGTGTCCTCCTGTTACCCTAAGGAGAACTATGGGGAAAAGCCTTAACCCCATAGTTCTCCTTTAAAGAGACTTTCGAAGAGAACCTGTACAGAGAGGCTGTTATTAACACTTTATGGGTCCCCCTCTCCTGTCACAGTTCTCTAGCAATCTGTAGATAGCAGCTGTGACATATTTTATAAAATCCCCGAAATCTGTTCTACGGTGTGTGTCCAGTCTGCCTGGATACAATTATATCATCTCTACTTTCCCGATTGGGTGGAATTAATATTTTCCTCTGTTGGTTTGCTATCAGCCAATAGAAAAAGGAATACATAATGTATAATAATATATGGTCCTAGAGAATTAAGCTACAGTTATATTACAGAGAATGGTGTTGTGTATGAAGGTAAATATAAAATACCGCATGATAATGTTTTTGCTGCCTTCTGCCCTGCCAGCAGATAAAGCTCGTGTCTCCTTTTTTTTATAAGTGAAGTATTGTATTCTCAAGTAAAAGTTTTCAGTTAGACAAAGGAAGCTGTAAAGCATGCTGCATCTGCTATACGATCTCTTTAGGTAACACACAGGGCTCTGGGAACTCTTTGTAGCTTATTAAATGTTTCTTTATAAAACAACGATTGTATATATGTTTTTATGTCTTTGTGTCTTAGTCCGTACTGGTCATCTTAGTTCATACTGGTCATCCTAGTCTGTACTGGTCATCCTAGTCTGTACTGGTCATCCTAGTCCATACTGGGCCTCTTACAGGGCTCTCACTTCTCCTGCCTTTTCCAAACTCTTCACCCTTTTGTGAATAGCCCTGTAAATCTTTAGCCTGTACTGATCATTTTAGTCTGTACTGGTCTGTACTGGTCATCTTACTAAGTACTGGTCATCTTGGTCCATACTGGTCATCTTAGTGTATACTGGTCATCTTAGCGTGTACTGGTCATCTTAGTGTGTACTGGTCATCTTAGCACATACTAGTCCTCTTAGTCGTCCATACTGGTCATTTTAGTCCGTACTAGTCTTCTTAGTCTGTACTGATCATCTTAGTCAATACTGGTCATTTTAGTTCTTACTTGTCATTTTAGTCCATACTGGTCCTCCTTAATTTGTACTGGTTATCTTAGTCAACACTGGTCATCTTAGTCCATACTGGTCATCCTAGTCTGTACTGGTCATCCTAGTCCATATTGGTCCTCTTAATCTTTACTGGAACAAAACTAACCTTACACGTCTATCAAAAATGATTCTCCCCGATGTTCTAAAATATCAACATCCGATGTATACTGCGTAAGAAGCACATTGTAATTCCTATTTAATGGATCTGATAAACGATAGGTCGCGCTAGCAGCTGGTGGGACGCGTCTCTGGCCTTCCGCCCATCTCACAGTGAAATGTTAAAGTCTGTGTTAATCCCGGAGCTTTTCACCCCGAACATACGAGGAAACGCAACGCACACTTAATACGCCGCGTCCACACCGTATTATGTCAATCACCCAGCTGAAGCCTGCAGTCCTTCCTCTCTGTTCTCCGAGGGGTTTGGACAAGACTGTTATTCTTTTCTAATGGCCTCTAAAGTGTCAGAGGATGAAAAGAAAGTCATTAACTCCGCCGTGCGGAGCCGACACCGACTGTACAAAGCCCAGGCAACGAGAACAAGTTACAGGGAAACTTTTTTATTGCTGGAGGCTGTGATGTACATTCCTGGGAGGTGACATCACAAAGAATGGTTGGATAATACATGTCTGAGGCCGGGGGCTATCCAGGAGCGCAGTGCAGTCCAGGCAGACCGTCACTGACGCGGCTGCCAAATCGCAAGCACAAAAATGAAACTTGTAGGCGGAGCGTACTGCCAAACGGCAAGGTGCTAACATGTACAGGAACCTATAGATAGATAGATAGATAGATAGATAGATAGATAGATAGATAGATAGATAGATAGATAGATAGATAGATTTGATATACACCGAATGCCTTTTAGTTTGCCAAAGCACTGTGCATCATAAACAATTGCCATATTTCTACTGTTTTCCTCTATTTTGCATCCTTGGCTACATCTCAACACTGTTGATTACTTGCAACCTCTTTGCAGCCACTTCCTGTCTACATGTACTGCAGTAATGGCTGCATGGCATTGCTCAGGACAGGTTTCCTGATGGTGACAGCAGTTGACTGCGTCTGCCTTGCAGCACTGGGGGTCCCTGGTTTGAATCCCAGCCAGGGGTACTAACTGCATGGAGTTTGCATGTTCTCCCTGTGCTTGTGTGGGTTTCCTCCGGGTACTCCGGTTTCCTCTCACACTCCAAAGATATGCTGGAAGGTTAATTGGCTCTTGTCTACATTGGTCCTGTATGTGAGATAGGGACAGGTGCGTCCCGAGGCCGGGTGCCGCCCGGAGCGGGTATCGAGTGACAGTCCGCCGTGATGTCATTGCGCATGCGCGGCCACCTTGGTGATACCTGCTGGTGTCCACATTGGTGGAGAGAGGAGGGCATGTTCACCCGGTGTGATGAGGTATGTCGTCGGGTCCCCTCCTCTCACCTGCCACTGTCCGGCTCTCAGTCCATGACCGAGTGGCCGACTTTTCAGAGGGGGTGACACCAAAATGACTGTCAGTCATTTTGGTGTCACCCCTCCAATGGTGTCACCCAGGTGTGAGCCGCACCCTCCTTGTGACGCCACTGGATAGAGACCTTAGGTCCTTGAGGGTAGGAGGGACTGATGTGAATGTGCACCATGTAAAGCACTGTGTAAATTGTTGGCACTATATAAATACCTGTAATAAATAAAAGTCTCTGTGGCGGGGTGACAATACAGGAGCACCATTGGAACACAGGGACAAATCGTTGTCACCTTATAAGAGGATGTGCCTGAACAAAAGCCTTCATGGCAGGATCACCGGAGAATATGTTAATGAGAGCTGCAGATTTAAAAAATATTGAAGGCAAGGTAAAGAAGAAGTCCGGGCAACATTTTTATTAACCCTTTCAGTGGGGCTACCCCAGCACTGCAAGGGTTAACTGTTTGTTTTGGTCTAGGGAGGAAAATAACAAAGTTATTACTAAGTTATACTCACCCGATACTCTAAGCCGGCTGACAGTGACAGCGCTCCCTCCAGCCTGTCTCCTACGCTGCAGCGATGGTATGTCCCTTGATGTGCCCAAGTCCTGTACACTGTGTATAGGAGGCGATGACTCCGGGACCTTAGACTGCTGCAGGGGAGGTGGAGAAACCCAGAAAAGCCAGTTCTGAGGATCAGGCAAGTATACTTATTTTTATTTTCCTCCCTAGGCAGAAACGAGCAGTTAACCCTTGCAGTGCGGGGGGGGGGGGGTG